TTTTGTAATTATTATTGTGATATAAAATTGAAAAGTCCCCAAAATCAAAGTATATGGTAACCATATTATATGGAAGTTGTGGGGTGCCTAACACCTTCCCCATGCTTAACCGACCCTCCGAGCCTACGTAGACCTTGGTGATCTATCCCACATCATTTGGATAGATGACGACTCCATCCATTTTGGCACGTCAACACCCATAACCCAAAAAACAATATAGTCGAGCTTTAGGCTCTAGTTTGTTATGTGCACAAGGTGGAAGAAGAACAAAACAAGCACAAGCAAAAATCTTACGAAGATCATAAGCAAGAGGAATACCATGTAAACATTCATATGGAGACTTGTTATTGATCACTGAGGGTGGAATCCGATTAATGAGATAAAACAGCTGTAAGAGCAGCTTCACCCCAAAATCGCTTTGGACAAGGAGATGAAATGAGCAGAGCACGAACAGAATCAAGGATATGTTTGTGTTTGCGTTCGACTCGCCCATTTTGTTCAAAAGTGTAAGGATAGGATTGTTGCGTTAGTGTACCCTGTTCTTTGAGAAAAGATTGAAGTTTAGCACTAAGATATTCATTGGCACTGTTAGTTCTCAAAACTTTGATAATTTTAGAGAATTGAGTTTTGACCATGGTAGCAAAATCAATATAAATTTGTGGTAACTCAGAGCAATTTTTCATAAGATATATCCAGGTAAAACGAGTATGATCATTAATAAATAATACAAAGTACTTGGAACCCCCCATGGTAGGTGATGGAGATGGACCCTACACATCAGAATGCACGAGATCAAAAGAAGCAGTAGAAAGAGAATGACTACTAGAAAAAGATAAAGCTGATTCTTTTGCAGATTGACATGACACACAATGCAAAGATTCATTTGGAACAGATCCTAATAAACCATGAGGGATAAGTGGATGAAGTTTATCGACTGAGGCATGTTCGAGCCATGAGTGCCACAAATGAAGAGGAGAAATGTTAGTAATAGTACAGGCTTGAAAGATTTGTTGGCATGGAATTTGCAATGACTTTAATCCAATTGCACAAAGCAAGGTTTGGATGAATCGATCATTTGGAAATGATGGTGTATCCATTTTATGATCAGGAATATGCAGATAGTTGAGCTCAATCAAATGCCCCACCTTGCGACCAGTTCCAAGAAGTTGTCCTATCCGTGGGTCCTACACACGACAACCATAAGTAGAAAATGTTACTTCAAGACCAAGATCACATAATTGACCAATAGATAGAAGATTATAACTAAGTTTTGGAACTAAGAAGGCATTTGGTAAAGTCAATGATTTTGTAAAAATATTACCAATGTGACTAACATTTATAGGGGAACCATAAGTAGAATAAATTTCAGGAAAGGAATTATTTAGTGACATTGAAGAAAAATGAGCAATAATTGAAGACATATGGTTACAACAACCAGAATCAAAATACCAAGGTTTGGTACCTGGAGTAGTAGATAAGGCAATAGGAACATTAAAAAGATTTAAGATCACACGTTTTAGGGATTCAAGGTTGACATTAGGTTGGTCTATCACTTCTTTAGCAACCATAGTAGTAGCAGGATGAGTTACGATCCTTTCAAAACTTGCCATAGAATCAATAAAACTCATAATACTGAAAAATTCTAAAATATGAAGAAATAGATGCCAAGATCGAAATAACAAACCAACAAAATACCTCAAAAAAGGCTTGAGAATTGAGGATTAACAATCTAATCTGTAGGAGAAGAGATCTCAATAACAAAGTTTCAGATCTAGAATGGATTTGAAAATCCAACTCCACAAAAAACCAAATAGCAATGATAAGAGAAAAGAACTAGGAGCTTATAGCTTTGATATCATGTTAGAAATAGAAAAGAAAGAGAAATATTTGAAGAAAGGTTTATTGCTTTCTTAAATAATACTATATGTATAATGATCTATATATAGGTGTTTATAAAGAGAATATTTTAAGGTATAAAGTATACAAAGAGAATATTCTAAATACTAAAATATTTACAATAAGTGTCTTCACATCTTAACACTTGATTTGCGCAACAACAGTTTCTTTGGAGAAATACCTTGGTTTTTAGGAAATTATAGTGCCTTGCAATTTGTGGACTTGAGTTCTAAGATCACTTGCCTTCCTTCTCCTAAGATCCAATGATTTCAATGGAGACATGCCCTTGCAATTATGCTGATTGGCAGATATTATGCTAATGGACCTCTCCAACAACAATCGGTCTGGAAGCATACCAAGTTGCATACATAATCTTACTGCAATAATTGAAAAAGAGAGTTCAGGCAGTAAGCATGGTTTATTAATTATTGATGAGAATTTCTTTCATGCAAGAAGCTACGTTGACAAAGTATCTGTAATGTGGAAAGGAATGGAGTGTGATTATGGGGATGGAAATCTCAAGAATCTGAGGATTATCAATCTTTCAAGCAATAAATTAATAGGAGAAATTCCAGTCAATATTTTGAGTCTCTCTGGACTGCATCAGTTGAACTTATCAAGAAATCATTTGACAGGAAAGATTCTTTCATATATTGGGCAGATTAGACAGTCAGAATCACTTGACTTGTCACAAAACCAGCTTTCAAGTTAGCCTCCTTGGAGCATGTCCCGTTTAAATTTTCTCAACACTCTGAACCCGTCATATAACAAATTTTGGAAGAATCCCATTATCAACCCAAATGCAGACCTTTGATGCTTCTGCATTTGTTGGTAATCCTGAACCCTGTGGGCTTCCTCTAAGACCAACTTACCTGGAACATGAAAAGTCAAAGAGCAAACCAACAGACTATGGTGGCAATGACAATAAAGAAGACAGAGTTGAATTTTGAAAATCGTTTGAACCAAGTATGGAACGAGGAGCAATCATTGGTTTTGTGGGAGTCTGGATGTGAAGTTAGATCATCCTTGCAAACATCTGTTGTTCAACAACTTGAGAGTCTGCCTCAACAACTTGAAAGACTACCTTTATTTAATTGTAGCAACATTTGGTTTGCTGGTGACAGAGCATGCCTCCAGATTGCGAATAAAATTGAAGTTTTAAGAGCCATCAGTCTCCCCCTACAGCCTGGAGAAAGTAGGTACAAATTTATGTTAATCTTGCATAGCAACTTCATTACTTGATTAAAAAGATCAATAGAGCGACTCACTTCTTATTATTGCTTTCAGCTTCAAGGAGTTTCATCACCTCAAGGACTAATCTTGCAAATTGAAATTCCAGTATTTTTTTTCAGCTACCACAAGATCCCTCATCAACAATTCCAACCTGTCCTCCATATTTATTTTACTATTTTTTCTTTTTTGAATTTAATGTCTGTTTAGATGGTTTGTTTGTCCCTTTTGTTTTTGTATCATCTAATTTGTAATAACTTTGTTGAAGCTGAGATACTCTATTGGCTTTAGTTCAACTAAAGTTTGATGTCCTTAATACATGTTTCTATCACATTCTTCATTTTCTATTTTAATTGAATTCCCAATTTGCTTATCAAAAGCTTTCGAATGTAGACTAGGAGAGAAACAAAAACTCTAATTTATAGTAAAATGCTCAAGAGATGTACGATAGGACTGAAGTTATCAGTTCCATATGACTCTTTTTGTGTTTCTTCACAAAAATGGTGATCGGTTGGAGATTCATATCGGAACCAGGGTGATTTCTTTTCTCCCTTCCCCTATTTCTTCATCTCTAGAAATCACAAAACCGGATATCAGTTCTGCTTTATGTGACTAATTATATAATCCCATGGCTTTTCAACTTTTCTTCAAGTGTTTGAGTTGAAGGTGCTGCTGATTTGCATAAAGGTAAGGTCTTGTTTTCTCTTTGTAGTGGTTACGCTTAAGTTATGTGCTAGGTCTGTTTATTTCAATGGAAACAACAATATAAGCAAATCTCTCCTGCATGATTGTATTGCTAGTGACTCATTAGTAGATGATGATGATTTGTTTGCTTGCCCTTTTAATCTTTATGAGAATCTAAAGACTGGAGTGGATAATCTAGTAGGAGCCATATCATTAAGGTAACAAGAGCAAGAGCTATAAGATGGGTTTTGATTTTGTTGGAGCAATCCCATCAAATTCTTGATAACATTTATTATTGCTAGTACTGTTGTTTGAATCATTTGAAGATGATGAATTATCCACTACTTTTTAATAAATCTATTTTAGAATTTAAAATTGATGATATAGTACAGTTAACACAATCATTAACGTTCACTTCTTGAGTAATAAATTTAGCCTTCACTTCTTGAGTTTTATTTAACTGTAGCATCATCTGTCAAATTTGCAGTGTAATATTTAAATAAACAGATGAAGTTCCAATGGTACTTGCCAAAGCCCAAGGATAAACATGGATGATTAATTAAAATCAGAGAAACAGGACCATAGTTTTTCTTTTGGCAGTAAATGACCTATAGTTTGTTGTTCAGAGCCACATTTTTCATATTAGATAGGTGTGCTTAGATGGCTTGTTCTTCTGTTTTATATCATGTACAAATTTGTAATGAGTTGCTTGAAATTGAGATCCAATCTGAATTCCGTAGGTTTTAAGTCAAGCAATTTTGATGCAATCAATATAAGCATTTTTCATATTCTTCATTTTCAATTTTAATTGAATTCCCAATTCCCTTATCAAATGTTTTCAAAGTTATATTAGAGAAAAACATGAAAATCCCTGCGTGGAAATCCTAATTCAAAATTTTAATGGTAATAAATAATCAAAGGTCGAGAGGTGGTCATGTACGGTTTATTATTATATTTTTAAACAATGAAAATGTGAGGTACAAACATAAAATAAATAGAGTTGAAAAATGGAGTGGGTTTTACGCTTTAGGTTGAGCACATAAGACGGTTGATTAGAAATGTCGAACAATTCCCATGACTCTCTGTGTCTCAGCATCCCTTTTTTCCTCACAATTCACAAAAATGGCGGCAGTGGAGGGTTTGAGATTCGACTCGTCAATCAAACGGCTAATTTCTTTTCCCTCTTCCTCTGTTTCTTTCATCCGCAGAAATAACAAAACTAGATGATCAGTTCTGTTTTCTGTAAATAATTCAGTTAATATTCTAAAAACTCATGGGGTTTCAATTTTTTTCTTTCAGGTTATTTTGAGTTAGAAGGGCTGCTGGTTTGCATCAAAGGTGAGGTGTTGCTTTTTTTGTGATGTGGGTATGTTATGTGCTACATCTGTTTATTGCAAGTTCAATATTTCAATGAAAACAACAATGCAAGCAATCCACTTCTGCATTTTTTGTTTGTTACAAAAGTGACCCTCTCAGCCCATTTTAAGATTTGAACTTGAGATAAGCTCTTAACCACTTGGTTGTGCTCTAGGGAACCTGAGTCATTGTAAGATAGTGAATTTTTTGCTTGTTTTTTTTAATCTTATGATATTCTAAAGACAAAGGTGGATAATTTAGTATCAGTGACGAAGGCAAACTCCAGAACTATAAAGTAGGTAAGAAAAGTGGCATAATTCAGAATATTATCATGAAAGGGGCCAATGTAATGCTCATGACCACTTTCACAAGAGAATGTTATTAATGGAAATTTTTTTTTTTTTAACTTGTCTCAGAGAGTGTGGCTAATTCAACAGATCAATAGCAAAATATATAGCCTTCAATTCTTGAACCCCGTATTACAACATGTACAAACCTTCCAATGAAGTGTTTATTTAATCTGAACAGGTCCCATCGGTCCTTAATTATTTGTCATTAAGTTAACAGAGGCTAACTCCAGAACCATAAAATAGGCAAGAAAAGTGGCATAATTCAGCATATTATCAAGAAAGGGGCCAATGTAATGCTTAGTACCACTTGCACGTAAGAATGTTATAGTGGATTTTTTTCCTAACTTGTCTTAGAGAGAGGAGCTAATTCAATAGATCAATAGCAAAATAGCCTTCACTTCCTGACCTCTGTATTACAACATTGACAAACCTTCCAATGAAGTGTTGATTTAATCTGAACAGGTCCTCCCATCGGTTCTTAATAATTTGTCGATAGCTTTCAGCATTTCGAATAAATGTTATATTGTGGTGTTTCTCTTTCTTTTCTTGGTTAGATTCCATTCCTATCACATTGAGAGAGAGATATGAAAGCTTTAAGTTATATGACGTTATAATAGTAATGATTTTATGGGATATTCGTGGACTGTTCCACTGTACGTTATCTTTTAAAAATCATATGTTGTCAAAACAACAAACTTGGTCTGTCTTCCCCTTTTGTTTTTCTATGGTACCACCTTGCCCTATACATATTGATTTTGTTAAGTTAGTCTGTTTTGATGGTTGTATCTTTTGTTGTACAGAGTTGTTGGCTGTAAACCTATACAAAGTTGCTGAAACCTCATTGCCGAAGCATCAAATGTTTTACTAATATATAAAGGGCGCCCTAGGTTTTTGAAACTTTCATAATTGGAATCAGATAAGAGTTTTTTTCGGTTTCCCGTCCGGTATCCGGGGCTTCGCCCCGACTAATCCGGACCCGATCCGCGTCGCGCACCTGGAAATGGTGGGTGAGTCTCCCAGCGGGGGCTGCTGCATCCACAAGGACTCGAACTCGAACTCGAACTCGAGACCTTGCTTAAGCTGGAACAAGCCGCTTACCACTTGATCCAACCCCTCGTTGGTAATCAGATAAGAGTTTAAGGAAGCAAAAACATTTAGTATGATTGAGCTGCTCATGAACTTGCTTTTATACTTTGTTGAATGTTGGGTTTACTTTAGATATTATTACGACTTATAAAAAGGGTTTTTCCTTTTTGGTTAGGCTAAGGGTCTGTTTGGTGGAGTTTGTTGGAGCTTTTTTTTTTATATATTGTTCATAAGTGATAAGTTTAAATTTTTATTAAAAGAAAATTTTAAAAGTTACTTTTAAAAATAGAAAAAGGTAAGTAAAAAATGAGTAAAAAGGAGGTTTGTAAAAAGTTTAGATTTAATGTTTTAATCTTTTACAGTTTGAAGTTTTTTTAAGATTAAAAAATAGTTTAAAAATGTAAATTTTAAAAAAAAATTTAATTTATAAAATATAAATAATATAACTGAAGCTCCACCAAGCAGGACTTAAGTCCATACGTAAAAGTAGTCCATATGTAAAAGTAGAATTTGGGCTAGGTGCTTCCTTTCAGGCTGGATCGGGAAAAATAGAAAACAGAGTGTGGTGGTGGTATTTACGTCCGTCACGGTCCCACTTTTTTTTATTTACTTTCCCTTAGAAGAATTCAGTGCATATTACCAAGTTCTACAATCCAATATCTTTTAGAAAAAATACATACTTACAGGAGAAATAAAGAATCCGGGGAAATTCCAACTTATGGTTTTCACCAAGTTGTCATTATATACATAGTCTACTACTTACAATAAATTAATGCGTCATTTTTAATTCTTTTATGTTCCCTGTTGACATTGTTCAATCTATGTGTTCCATTGCAGCCATTTATATACACAAGCAGAAAGGTGCCGAAACTCAAATAGTTGAACCAAAAGGTAAAATTTGGACCTTTTTTCCTTTGACAGTTTTCATTTTTGTTCAGCTAAGTTGATCTTAATTTTGTTCTTATCACTCCAAGTGAATATAATGGTTTTGGATAAACAGAAATTTCAATTTTCCTTAAGGTTTTTGGTTTAAGGAGCTCCTGCTCATTAATCAAAGGTCAAGTCTTCGTTTTGTATTTGCATGGATGCTTCCGAGCGATGAAACTAAAATTTCCAGAGTTGATTAATTGAATTCTGTCTTGTTTTCTAGCTTGAGAGAAAGAGACCAGAGTAGGCAAATCAACAAGTCAATGGTCTTCCATTGCTTTTAAGTTAACTTGAGCGTGTTCCACACTCTGATTTGTATTGTTGAATTCCAAGATCAAACCATATGGCCCACTGTACCTTTCAGTTCAAAATTTCCAAACTGTCATCTTCCTTAGGTTAGACTTTCATAGTTTTATAACCCTTTTTGTGCTAAACACATAATAAGATAAGAATTATAGGGTTCTGTGAATCATACTGTCCAAAATGTAAATTTTTTTAACACAATCATGGTCCAAATAATTGTGTACACCCATAATTTCAACATAACCCTTTCACACTATCATGTTGCATTACTTCACTAAAATAACGGAGTAAATCACCTGAGGAGGTTGTTTAAGTTTCAACATGCTTCTTCACACTTTGAGGACTCAACTTATCTATTCTGTCTTGCAGGTGTAGGGTAATGATTCATGCACACACATGTGTTACACACTTTAATGATTTCCGTTATATGCACCGGTGGTCTATCTCTCTCTCCTTTCCTTTCTCCTTCTTCTTATTTTTTTGTCTTTCTCCTAGGTTCTCTTGGAGAACCTAGATTTGGGTTCTCCAGGAGAACCCCAAAAAAAAAAAAAAAAGGAAGAAGGTGGGAACCTAGTAGGGCTAGCAATTGTCTTGCTGATGATTAGAATAAGGATGGAGGTGAGGAGGAAGATGAATTTGGTGAGGACAGAAAGGGTTGGGTGAGTCAAGAGATCGTCAATGCATATAACAGAAATTGTTAAGAGTGTGTATCGGGTGTGTAACGGGATGGTGTGCATGAGGTTTGCATCTTCTATTGTAAGAAGAGCTAATTGCAGCTTGCTATGAAACTAGATAGGACTACAATCTGAATTGTGATTTATGTGTACTAAATTATGATTTATGTGTGTTTTATTGTATCATTTTGGTGTTCTGCTTGTTTGATTCCAGCAACTAATTTGTAAGGAATGAAGAACAATATAGCTACAATAGAAATAAAACTGAAATCTGAATTCTGCAAGTTTGATACTCTTAGTTTTATCAAAATATTCGTTGGATAGAATGGTTATTCCTTAATCAAATTATAAAAAAGAGATAAATTAGATAGAAATCATGCTAATGGTTTTTTTCTTGTTTTAGTTTTGGAGTTAAGGGGCTTCTGCTTATAATTAAAATCAAAGGTCAATCTTCTTTTATCTGTTGCATTCTCAATAATTTTAGTAGGACGCTTCCAGGAAACAAGATTTCCAAAGTTGGTTAATTGACTTGTGTTTCCATGAGGGACCAGAGTAGGTAATTAAGTTAACAAGTCAATGGTCTTCCATTTCTTCGTCTTTAGCGTGTTCCAAGTTCCAACTTCCACACACTCATTGTATTGTAGAATTCTGCAGGTCTACCTACCATTTTGTTAAAATTCGTCAAACTGCTAGCTTCCTTTAATCTTCACCCTATCCTACTATAAATTAAGGTGAAAATCCTTGGCCAGCCCTCCATCTTACTGATTATGAGAGTATCAGTCCCTCAACTTACAATATAAAAGCTTTAGCCCCTTAACTTACTGAGTATGAGAGTATTAGTCCCTCAACTTGCAATATGAAAGATTTAGCCCCTCATCTTTTTAGCCTAAATGAAAATACCCAAAATGAATGGTGACATTGTGTACTCGTGAAATTTTGTTACTCATTGTCATGTCAACACTAACATGGTAATTCCTTGCCATCATGATGGCCACTATGTCAAGATCCAATTCAAAAATTCGACCTAATTTATTTACTATGAGTAATGTCATAGGTTTAAACCTCTAAGTTATCAATTCAAAATCAGATATAATCCAAATCAAAATTATCTGGACTCGATTGAGATAGGTTAACTCGAAGTGATCCAAGTAAAGTTAATTAATTTTTTTTAATTTAAAATTTTTATTAATTATACTTTTAATTTTAATTTTTAAGTATAAAATAAAATTAAATACTATAAAATTATTATTATTTAATAAATTATTAGTGTTAATATTAATTTAAAAGATTTTTTACTAAATAATTAATTAATATTAAATTTTTTTAAAGAAAAATAAAGAAAATATTAAAATTAAACATTTTTAATTTTAATTTTAATTTTTTAAAAAGTTGGATTCACTTGATCCAATTTGAAATTTGTATAGGTGAGTCATGGATCTACTTCTTTAATCTAAAATTTGAAATGACCAAACTTAAAATCTGAGGTGACAAACTCAATGGATTTGACCTGTTTGTCAAGTCTAACTTTTATTATCCACACTAGTAGTCCATGATGGCAAGAAATTACCATGTTGGCGCTGATATGACAATGGGTGACGGAATTTTAACAAGCACATAACATTGCCATTTATTTTGGGATTTTTTTCATTTAAATTGAAAAGATGAGGGGCTAAAACTTTCATATTATAAGTTGAGAGGTTGATACTCTCATAATCATCAGTAATATAAAGGGCTAAAACTTTTATATTATAAGTTGAAGGTTGATACTCTTATAATCAGTAAGGTGAAGGGCTGGCCAAGGATTTTTGCCCTAAAATAATGGCTTCTCCTTATTATATCTTGAAATTTGTAATATCCTTACAACCGGTTATACCTTTTCATTTTAAATTTATATAAAAAATTATAAAAATAAATTTTATTTTTAATATTAATATTATATGAAGTATTTTAATTAGATTGTTAATAAAATTAAAATTACTTTTATTTTTTTACATGAGTTAATAATAAAAAAATATAATAAATATATTCTTAATCTATACCTTAAGGACAAGTATTAAAATTTTTTTTATTTCTTTGATGTTTCCAACAGCTTTTTTGGTAAAATGTAAACTTTATTATCAAAACTTTCACTCTACACCAAGTAGCTTTTTATAATATAGGCTGCTATTAATATCTATATACAAAGAGTGAATTAGCTATACAAAAATGGATGTTCCCTACAGTTATATGTAAGTAGAACAGAATGGTTTTGAGAACTGAGTATAGACCACCGCAAAAGGTTAAATTTCCTTGACATAGTCTTCAGTTTGGTTGAGCTTCATCTTCGCTTTGTTCTTATCACTTTTAAAATGACGGTTTTGGGTATAGGGTCCTTCTAATTAATTATCACAAAAATGTCAAGTAAAAGATCATGTACATTATTCTTCACAAGACATTATTTTGGCAAGTTGTTATGGTCTGTTTGGGTGGTGGTGACTTGTGACCTTTGTTGTAACAGAGTTGGTTGCTGTAAAATTGTACAAAGTTGCTAAAGCTTAATTACTATCATATCAAATGTTTTATTAATATTTGGAGGGAGCTTTAGTTTTCCAAACTTTATAATTAGAAACTAGACAAGGGTTATAGGAAGCAAAAATATTTATTATGATTGCCCTTTACTGGAACTATTTTGCTTAGGATAGTGTTATGACATCAATGGAGATATTAAATTTAAGAGTAGATTGAAAAGCAGCTTAATAGATTGTGATATAAAATGACATTTAGGAGAGATTTATGTAAGGATTTTAAAATCGACTTATGGTGAATTAATAGTTTTAGAATTTTGTCTATGCTAAACATATGGAGTAAAAAACTCAAAATTTTATTTATGCTAAACATATAGAGTAAAAAACTTAAAATTATAGAGTGCGTTGAATCATATTACAAATAATTTATCCAAGATTTCAACTTAATCATTTCACGTAAATCATGTTTTGTACTGGAATTTTCCTTTAATTTTTCTCGTTCTACCTCCATAAATTAAGATGGGTTAAAACTCTATTTTGGTCCCTTTCCTTTAATTAAAAGTTCCTTTTTAGTCCTTTTATTTAAGAAAGCCTTTTTTTACGTATAAGGCACATTAGATGATGGAAAAGAGATTAAAAAATGGCTCTTTTTAAAGTAGAGGAGAAAAAAAAGGTTTTTTTCAAGTAAAAGGACCAAAAAATTTTATCCCTTTTAAGTCCCTCTAGTTTAAAATTTTTATTATTTAACATGCCACGTGTGTAAAACAATAAAGACTAAAAAAGGATCGGATAATAAACTTTAGGAATTAGAAAGGGGTTTTTCTAAGTAGAGGGACTAAAAATAAATTTTTTGTTAAAGTAGAGGGACCAAATAGAGTTTAACCATTAATATTCTTTGATGTGCCCTTCTCCAACCTTAACGTACTGTTTGGATAGAAAATAGTAAAGGGAAGGGAAGGGAAGGGAGGGGGACGGAGGAAAATAAAAGGAAAAGGAGAGGAAAGAAAGGAAAGGGAAGGGAAGAAAATGGAAGGAGATGATTTGTGTTAATTTTGTTTGGATAAATAAAAATGAGGAAGGAAAAAGGAAGAGAAGGATTATATTTTTTATATTTGGATAGTTAAGGTAAAAGGAAGGGAAGGATTTAAATTAATTTTAAATTTACAGATTTATCCTTTAAAATGGAGGAAGATAATTTATGGTAATATATAAAAAAGTTAATTATGTAATTATTTTTAACCTAATATAAATAATCCCTGCAATCCCTCCCAAACCCCCCCAATCAGAAGGATTGCAAATCTGCAAAGTTAAGGGTAGTTGGAGGGAGTCTGAATCCGTTGATCTCCCTCCCCTTCTGCCTTTTTAGAAACCCAAACAAGAGGAAGGGGACAACCTCCCCTCACTCCCCCTCCCTTATCATCTGTCCCCATCCCTTCCCCTCCCTCTCCGTCCGATACCTCCAATCCAAACAATACGTAAATGTGTTTTCTTGAAGCTATATATAAGTAGCTAGAATGGTTTTGAGAACCCATCAAGCACATTGCTCTTATCATCTAATTTCTAACGTTCCTCAATTACTTGTTTGCCATATTTCCCTGACACACTCTTCATTTTGGTTCGCCTTCATCTTTGATTTTAATCTCATCAATTTCAAAATGAAGATTCTTGGTGGAGGGTCTCTTCAACTTGGCTATGCATTCCTGATTTTACTGCATATGCAATCTTCCATTGGAATCAGTTCAACAACTGCTGGTGATGAAGTTAGGTGCATAGAGAGCGAAAGACAAGCGCTTCTGGCGTTTAAGCAAGGTCTGGTTGACGAATATGGCAGGCTTTCCTCATGGGGCAGTGAAGAAGAGATAAAGGATTGTTGCAAATGGAAAGGAGTTCAATGTAGCAACAAAACTGGGCACATCATTGTGCTTAATCTTACAGTGCAACAGTATGGTATTGATCGTCATGACTTGAGAGGTAACCTTAGTCCTTCCCTATTTGAGTTACAGCATTTAACTTATGTAGGCCTTGCTGGAAATGATTTCAACTCTAGCTGCATTCCGGAGTCTATCGGTTTACTCAACAAAATACAACATCTTGATCTCAATGATTGTAATTTAAGTCGATCTCTTCCTAGCCAGCTTGCAAACCTCACCAGTTTGCAATATCTTGATCTTGGCTTTAATTACTTCAATAATGTCAAAAATCTTGAATGGCTCTCTTATCTTTCTTCTTTGAAACACATTGATTTGAGCGCCAATGACATTGGAAAGGTAAATAATTGGCCGCAGTTGATTAATAAACTCCCTCATCTAACTTACCTGTCTCTAGAGGGATGTAATCTTCAAGATGCCATCCCTCAGTCCATCCCCATGATTAATACTTCTACTTTTCTCACTGACCTTGATCTAAGTGGCAACAATTTGACTGCCTCCATATTCCACTGGTTGTTCAAATTCGGCAAGAGCCTTGTTAATCTCTACTTGGATGATAATCAGTTTCATGGTTTGATTCCAGAAAATCTCGGTCACATGACTCATCTGAAAACCCTATATCTCTCCTACAACCAATTTGAAGGAGGGATCCCAAAATCCTTTGGGAACCTGTGCAAATTGAAGTTTCTAGACCTGGATGATAACTATCTTGACGGGATGCTTCCTGAAATTATTGGTAACTTATCTGGATGTCTGCAACTCTCCTTGGAAAGATTGCATTTGAGTGAAAATAAAATTAAGGGACCCTTGCCTGAAATGATAAAAAACTTCTTGTCACTGCAATCGTTGGAGCTTTTCAACAATCAACTAAATGGTACTGTGCCTAAAAGCATTGGGCTCCTGTCAAACCTTGAGGGCATATATATTTTTAACAATTCTTTGAACGGGACAATCAGTGAATCACACTTTTCAGCACTATCTAAGTTACGGGAGTTGGACATGTCTTCTAATTCTTTGAGCATCAACTTTAGCCATGACTGGATTCCTCCATTCCAGTTGGATTATATAAAACTTAGGTCGTGCAAATTGGGCCCAAAGTTTCCAAGCTGGTTAAAGTCCCAGAGAAAATTTTCTTTTCTTGATATCTCTGGAAGTGGGATTTTAGATAGCATCCCAGAGTGGTTTTGGAACCTATCTTCAAGAGCACTTGATGTGAATCTTTCTTCCAACCATATCTATGGAATTTTGCCAGATTTGTCAACAAAATTTTCTCATTCTCTTCGCCCTGGGATAGATTTGAGTAAAAACAAGTTGGAGGGTCCATTGCCAGTATTCCCTGTCAATGTCACATCCATAAACCTGTCAGAAAATAGGTTCTCTGGGTTAATTTCTTCTCTCTGTACCATAACTGGTGGGATACTTCAGCTCCTCGATGTTTCACACAATCAACTATCTGGAGAGTTCCCTGATTGCATAACACAATGGCCAAGATTAGTGATTCTGAATTTGGCTAATAATAATTTATCTGGGAAAATTCCAAGCTCTATTGGATCATTGTATAATCTTGAATCGTTGAGTTTGCAAAACAACAATTTTTCTGGAGAAATACCTTGGTCTCTAGGAAATTGCAGTGCCTTGCATTTTTTGGACTTGAATTATAATAGCTTCTCTGGAAAAATACCAACTTGGATTGGAGAAAGGCTAAGTTCACTAATTTTCCTTCTTCTGGGATCCAATAATTTCAGTGGAGACATCCCCTTGAAGCTATGCTGGTTGAAAAATATTATGCTGCTAGACCTCTCCAACAATGATCTATCTGGAAACATACCATCGTGCATCCAGAATCTGACCACATTAGCCCAAAAGGAGAGTTCAGCCATTAATTATTTGATTGCAGCTTCATATGTCGATGATAATTCCGGTTACAGTGCATACTATGTTGACAAAGCATCTATAATGTGGAAAAGAATGAATCGTGATTATGAGAATGGAAATCTCAAGAATCTGAAGATTATTGATCTTTCAAGCAACAAATTAACAGGAAAGATTCCAGTCCAGATATCTGTTCTCTTGGAACTGGTTCAATTGAACTTATCAAGAAATCAGTTGACCGGATGGATTCCTCCAAACATTGGGCAGATGAGACAGTTAGAATCACTCGACTTGTCATGGAACCAGCTTTCAGGTCAGCTTCCTTGGAGCATGTCCCAATTATATTTTCTTGGCACCTTGAACCTGTCATATAACAACTTTTCTGGAAGAATCCCAACGGGAACCCAAATTCAGACATTTGATGCTTCATCATTTATCGGTAATCCTGCACTTTGTGGGCTTCCTCTAACACCAACTTGCCCAGATGATGAAAAATCAGAGGGCAAACCAAAAAACAGAGACATAGCTGAATTCTGGAAATGGTTTAAACCGGAAATGGAACTTGGAGCGGCCATCGGCTTTGTGGGAGTTTTGGCTGTGAAGTTAGATCATCCATGGAAACATCTCTGTTCCCTGTTGTTCAACAAAGTGAAGGTCCGCCTCAGCAACTTGAAGGACTGCCTTTATTTACTTGTAGCAGCAGTTGGTTTGCTGGTGAGAGAGTATGTATCCAGATTGGGACGAAAGTTGAAGTAGTTCGAGCCATTAGTCTCTTCCTAGAAGCCGGTAAAGATCAATACACATTTATTCTAATCTTGTATGGCATCTTCATGGCTTGATTATAAAAAGAATAACAGAGCAAATAACCTCTTATTTGTTGTTTTTCAGGTTCAAGATGTTTCATTTTGCAAAGTAAGTCCAAGCCGAGCAGGGTATTGTTTCTTCCTTTATTTAGAAGAGTGTGTCTAGTTGAAAGGTCTGTTTATTATTATTTTTTTTTCTATCATCTATTTTGTAATAATTTGCTTGAAACTGATATGTTATATGGATTTGTATTCTGTAATTTAACCAAGTCTGTAATCTGGAGAGAAGCAGAAACTCAGAAAGTCAGTGTAAACCCTAATTTGTAGTTTTTATGTTGATTTTAAAATATTATCTTTAATTAATCAAATGGTCAAGAGATGTGGGGTAGGATTAAAAACATCCAGGCAACCGCCACCCTCACCCACTTCGGCCGTTCGTCTGCCCAAATGGGCCTTTTCGTGTTTCTTCACAAAATTTCCCAAATGGCCGGTAATTTCTAGTTCTCAATTCCCCTGTTTCTTTTCCCCAAAAATTCCAATCGCATACCACTAAACTAAATAGATGGTCGGTTCTGTTTTCTGTGAATAATTTCAATAAACTCGTGGCTTTTCAACTCATCTTTGGGTTTCTGTGTTAAAATGGCTGCTGGGTTCACATCGAAGGTAAGCTCTTGTTTTGTCTGTCTAGTGGGTATTTGCTGTTTCTATTTATTTCGAGTTTAATATTTCAATGGAAATAACAATGCAAGCAAATCACTTAAAGTGAATTGTGTAATTAGAAAATAATAATGAATTATTTGCTTGTTTCTTTAATCTTTAGAGAATCTAATTACTAAAGTGGATGATCCAGTAGCTGTCATACCATTTTTTGTCTTCCATTTCTTTTGTACACAGCAACCATTTTTGGTGATAGTCATGCCGTTAACAAGTGCAAGTTACGGTACAATAAAACTGGTTTTGATTTTGTTGTGCAATTCCATATATATTTTTTCTGTTAGGCTTTTGATTTAAGGGATTACTGTTTATAAGCTAAGTTTAAGTGTTTTCTTAGAGCATTTTCGATGGGTTTTGACAACTTTCCATCAAATCAATGCTTGCTGCAGACAACATCTATAAATGAATGCGTTAGTCTTTTAATGCTAATTTGATGTTTGCTTTAACCTAACACGTGAATCATTGATGAAAGAAGAGAATGTTGATTCATTTAATTTTGCCCAAGAGAATGTTGATTCATTTAATTTTACCTAACTTCTTTTCCTAAGAGAGAGCTCGTTTAGCAATACATGCTCTAACAATAATTCATTTCCCTTTTTATCTTTATAGATCCTTGATGCTTCTGCATTTGATGGTAATTCTGCTCTATGTAGGTGCCCTCCAAAACCACGATGTCAGGGAGCTTAAAAACACAGAGATGGTAGTGGCAAAGAAAATCATGATGACCTAGATTAATTCTGAAAAGGGTTTAACACAGTATGGAACTTGTGATGGCCTTTGGCTCTCTGGGAGTTCTTTCTTAAAAATTGGATCATCCACTTTGTTTGCTGGTGCGGTGAATGCTTCCATATTGCAAAGAAAGTTGAAGTCTTAAGAGCCAACACCACTCCTTTCCCCTGAGCCTGGAAAAGTGCGTATGATTATGTTCGTTTATGCTATCTTCTTGTTTAAGTGCATTACTTCAGTTTCAATATGCTACTTCACACTTCAAGGACTCAACTTCTCCATTCTGTCTTGCTGGTGTAATGGTAATAACAAATAACAAATCAAACCTGAGTAGAAGGTTATCTCTTTCTTTCTTTCTCTGTGTAATAAATCAATGTATGTTTGTGTGTGCATCTTCTATTGTAAGGAGTTAAATGGAGCTTCCTGCTATGAAT